AAACTAGAATGCTACCACCACTCCCTAATTATCTAGGTTTGTCAAATCTTCCTTTTTTTTTTTTTTTTTAGAGGGAATTTTGCTATAGGGTACATGTACTCGCTGGAGAGTCAGAGAGAGAATGTCGACAGAGAGACAGAAAGCAAGAAATTACCCACCAGAGAGATGGCAACGACACAATCCCTTCTCCTCCATTCTCCTCTTGGGATTTTGAGCATGCACGTACACGTGCCTGACTTGAGTTTTAAGCCACTGGGTCAGGGACTTGAACTGCAGTCAACTACCTGGAAGTCCAGTCATGTAAACACTACGCCATCTGCTGGTCCCAAGGTTTGTCAAATCTCAGTGATGCTACGTTTTCAGATAACATTTTAAATGAACTTTTTGAATAGTTAATATAGTTACATGTTCAAAGAAATTTAAGTCTCCACCCCTCTCTATATGTTTTACCTATCCCATAAGTATTAGTTGTATATATACATTTTCCCAGTCTGTAAGTATATAGTTTATTACATGTATATACAAATAACTATAAATTACTTTGTAGTAATATACATACAAGTAACTGAAAATATTTTGTCTCATTTAAAAATATTTACTTTTATAATAATTTTTAAATAATTATTTATTATTATTATTATTATTTTAAATTTAACCAGAGAGACACAGAGAGAGGGACAGTGAGAAAGCAAGCCACCAGATCCCACCAGGTGGGAGTCTAGCACTTCAACCACCACACCACCTGACCGCCCTCGATTTATTATCAATTTTCACTTTTCTATAGGGCATGTGTACTCACCAGGGAGGCAGAGACAGAAAGAAGGGGAAAGCTAGAAAGTAAGACACCACATCCCAGACTAAAACCACAGTTGACCATGTAGGAGTTCAGTGCCCTAACCACCATGCCACATGCCATCCCCAAAGATCTTCTAAAAAAATTTGTAGAGGGCATGTGCATTTGGCCACGGGGAAACAGAAACCAGGAGAAAGGACCCCGGGTTGGAAAACTTATGGTCCACCCCGTTCTGGGTACTCTCAAGGCAGTTACTCAAGGCAGGTCCAGGACAGGAATTGCTGCTGGCCATGACAGACCCAGCTCCCTTGACCTCCGCACCACTTGGCCGGCTCTCCTCCTAGGTCTCTTTACCACCTCTGTGTTCAGCTCCTTATTTAATAAGCAACTAGTGTTCACGGCATTCTACTGGCTTTGAAGAATCACCAGTTTAGCATGTAATACTACCTGCCTCTATTCTTTTTTTAGAGGGAGAGGTTTGTTTGCCTTTCAGCTTCCCGCTGGAGAGTCAGAGCGGGTGAGAGGGAAAGTGAGAAATCACCCCCCACCCCAGGGGGGATGGCCATGCCGCAATCCCTTCTCCAGTCTCCTCCGGGGATCTTGGGCACGTGCTCACTCGGCCTGTTTCAAGTCACCGGGTCGGGACTCGAACTGGTGTTCCCCACGTAGGAGTCCAGCGACTTAACCACTACGCCATCTACTGATCATCTTCTATTCTTTTTATTCCATCCACAATTCAGTTTTTCAAAACGCCAAGACTCACTCGCAAAGCGTCAAGTGCCTGGAGAGTAGCAACGAGAAAACTCACACAGACAGACGGCTCAACTTGGGGCGGTTCGGGAGACCGGAAGCGTTGAGAGGCCCTCCCCCCGACCGGACCCCAGAAGGCGGGGATTAAGGCAGGTGGGCGTGACCGGGGAGGTGGGTCTTGTAGGCTCCGCCCAGACTGCGCGCAACTTTGGCGCCAAATTCTAAGAGCGCTTCTCGCGGCGGCGTTCCCGGGTCTCGCGAGAAGCGCGGTTTGCCCGCCACGCCGTTCACGGGGTCGTGGCTG